CGACAGCCTAAAGCCGCTAAACCCGGCAATCCTGAAATGTAAATCCTGAAACCCTAAACCCCGACGCCTTAGTCCTGAAACCCTCTAAAGCCTAAAGCCGCTAAACCCGGTAACCCTGAAACGTAAATCCTGAAACCCTAAACCCCGACGCCTTAAGCCTGAAACTTAAACCCTGAAAGCCCGAAGCCCGAAACAGTAAACTCTAGCGGTTCAGGAGTCTTCAGGCGCACTACTCCTACTTAAAGGTTCATGGGACTTAGTAACTAGGGTTGTAGATAAGGTAACTATACGTATAATTACTTATAACCCGATTAAGGTACTTATAACTGTACTTACTAAGTCCCATGAGGCTCCAAGTAATAGGAATCTAACGGAAATACAGCACCACGGTCGTGTCCTGGATTGACCAGGGTGGGATCGCCCCCAATAACAGAGGATGGGTCTTAATCGCAAGAATAAAGTTTGGGGGTGTATTCTTATCTTAAATAATAGTTTTTTTTGGGGGGGGAGGATACAAAACTAAAATAAGACTGGCAAGTTTCGCCGGCCGTGCTAGCCTTCTGGGTTCGGTCTTCTGATCCCCCAAGCATGAAAATTCGTTCGCTCCCTTGCCCTTCCTCTTCCTCTTACAAAGTTTACGTTGAGCTGGTTTGGGGGTTCCACTGCCCAACACTACACTGCGCGAGACCTTAGAAGGCCGTGCAGCCTCCCAAAATCAGAATTCATCCGGCGAGTCGTCCTCACGTGCAGCATCTCGGGCGGAATGGGACTCATCGGCAGGAGCTCCCCGATCACGACCTTGTCTTCCAGAATCTCAAGCACAAGGAGGACCACAAGAGAGCAGCCTGCTGAGAAGTTGAAGGCTGGAGCCTTCGGCCCGTCGAATGACATATCACCATAGTAGATAGCCCTGGCACATACCAACGACGCTACCACGATGAACCGGAAGTAGCCGGCATAGATCTTGACCTCATCATGCAGCTTCGTCCATCCACTCGGCACAGCAAGAGAGCCCAGGCTTGGGTGCAGTCTTCTGAGGAACAGGAACATAAGGTATCGGGTCCATCCCAGGCGAACGAGGATGTTCAAAGTTAGCGTCAGAAGAGCAGATCCTACCCAAGAAAAGCTGCCAGATGTCACCGCCCCGGAAAAGGAAGCCACCAACCGGGCTGATTCGCAGAACGAGTGGGCTGCGATCAACATGTACGGCAAGGCTATGTAGGAAGTGTCACCAGGTATTGCTGGACGTCTTGAAACCACCAGCCGCTTGTACGCCAGCTTGCAACCCATCACCTGAGCTTAATCAGCATTGCTTAGGTATGCTGAAGCCATGTAATTAAGCACGGGGCAACTAGCTCCTCCTTATTCAGCAGTTACTCCAGGAGTTCCGAGAAGGCAAGCAAGCAAGATTCTGAACGGTCTGGGCACGGTGCCTGCCTCTACCGCTGCAGTGGCGAGGGGCAAAAGAACGGTGGCAACCAAGACCTGCCCGTGGTCACTTAGAGGTAAAGGACTATGCGATGCTTACGACTTGGGCGGGTAGAGTCTTCGAGGCCATAATTGGGGACAAGGGCAGCGCGAGTTCAAGCTGCGCCTGGTCTTCCAGCAACAAGACGTAGAAGACAACGATGCAGGAGAGGAGTATTGAGCAGCCAACGGTTCCCATCAGCTGAGCGAAAGTCCACATCGCGCACGGGAAGAGCTCCCGTTGATGATGGTTTGCTCGAGTTAGGTAATACAAAGATGTGGGGCCTCCCAGGAAAAGGCCCGTGAGCCCCATCAAAGACAGCGGGTAGTCTGCAATCTGTGCGAAAGTTCCCACAATGGCGAAACCGAAGCAGAGAAGAAGTCCCACGCAAGTGGTTAGGCATGTTGGCCGCTCCCCGGCCAGACTAGCAGACCATGTTTCGAACAATCCCCATGTGCAGAAAACGACGCCATTGATCGTAACCAGTGTGCCCCGCCACCACGGGAGCTGTCCCAGATGTGCTCGCTGCTCATAGTGAATACTGATGATCCACCGGGTTACGTGCCAAGCCAGCAGGATCAGCGTGGATAGCACCATGTACCGAAACGAGAAGGTCCCACAGGCCTTGAGATCTTGACTGGCGACGTCGACACTCAATTCACGTGCCATCTCTGCGTCGACATTTCGGACGACAAAACCCGAAACCTCCGCGGCAATGCTGTCGCTGGACTCTAGAATTCGTAGATGTCGCATCTGGCCCCCAACCATGTAAATCTGCAACCTCTGGCTATCCAGCAGTTCTACTGCGTCAGGGCCGGTTTTGCTCCAGTACGTACGGAAGGATGGGCCCAAGCGCTTTCCAAACTTCGAGGTCTGCATCTGAGGCGGCTGCCAGAAAAAACAGGTGTCAAGCTCTTCGAAGGCCAAGACACTGACGCGGTCATCATCAAGACCACGAGTTTGAATGTGCATGAGTCGACCTCCAGCCGACATCCGTCTCCGAGCAAGAACCTCGTCATCCGGGCCTCCACTGCCTACGATGATGAGGCAGTGGTCTTTGTAACGCTGAGCATCCATCGCAACCGTGAGGCTCACAAGACTCTGAAAAGAATGGAGGTGCTACTCGCAGCACTGTATCAGCTGTAAGATGTTGGAAAAATTCAGACTCTGGGTGCTGAAGACATCTCAGGCATGCAGTCATCGACATGAGATTTATAGTAATCCTGATGTGGGTGAGTGTGCTGCTGCGTTCTGGGCGGGCGCCCGCACAGAGCCCAGAACTTGAGGCACATAGCCTTTTTAATCGAACCCTTCAACAAACCCGAAGCAGTGACCCTTACAGCAAGCCGTCTGGATCAAGATAATCACTCTTGATGTAACCCTCATTGAACCTTGTACAAACCCCAACAGTCGCCTTTTAGCAACCTTTGCGTAGCCGTTTACCGAGAAGGACATGTCGCTCCAGAGGCACCTCCACAGAATCGGCCCAGTGCATCGGAGAAGTTTGGCGGTTGGCCAGGGCCTCACCGTCGGGCTGGGGGCTTAGGGTCTGATTCGGGTTTGGGGCAAAGTGTACTTAAATAAGAATAAGCACCCACCAGCAGAATATTAGTAATTATTTAGGCCCTATATTACAGGTTTAGGATATAGGGCTTTGGGTTTAGGGTGGCAGAATTGGCACACTTGGAGATCGTTGTCCCAGATGCTTTCGCCAAAAGAGGTGGGGCCTTCGACTCTGGATTGGCTCGAATCTATCTTAATCAGGGAGGCAAATAGATCTGATCTCGGCTTTCTCAGCGCGAAATCCCACTTTCGACGGCCCTATAGAACAAGCGTTTACAACTTGTTGGGACAGCTAGGAAACCTGGAACTTGACGACAATCTCAAAGCGTTCCTTCGTTTCTGCACGGAGAGGGCATCCTCTGACATGCTCCTAGAGACTAGCTTTAAAGTGATCTTCGCTGTCCACCGGTAGCGCTACCCTATCAACTAGATCACAACACCGTTGCACAATGTCTCATGACCGGGATTGCTGCGCATTTTCGGCATCGTCACGAAGAAACTTCTTCGATGGTGCTGCAGCGCTGGAAAACCTGCACAGCACAGTGCTACTACGTGCTGTTAAGGCCTCAGCCTCACCACCTGGCCTCATGCGTTACTGTAGTACCAAGGACGGAGCAGCAGCAATCGTCAGTAGTCATTCAACAGCAAGAGCAGCAGCAATAGTCGACGTCATGCTCACGAACACCTGACTCCAACTCCACCCCTAGACGTCTAAAGTCCAACTCTTGCCATTCCGGCCGGGCCTCCGCAGGCGGCATCCTAGATCCGAAACTTCTGGAGGAACAGAAACGGCAATGCAAAAGATAGAAGCAGCGGCAAGAAGAACGATCCTACCGACAACAAGCACGATAGTACATACCATAGAGAGTGATGCAAATTGATTACTGCTGCGCGAAGTTACCGCCGCGGTGAATACGATACTCTTTCGTGCAAGACACTATACATTCTATCACACTCACTAACGGCCTGTGTGCTACTACCTCCTCACATACTTCATGCTGGCATAGATGCACCAGCACACACCCGCGCACACACACACACACACACACGTACACACCTCATCTTTGGAAGCGGCAAGTAAGTAAAGTCCCGGTCTTCTGCCATTGTAATGCAGATTGCCGCTGTACTGCACGAAGGTAAGTGATAGGTGTAGAAGCAACTTCCAGCCATCATTCTGTGCTCAGTAGTGTTACCACGGTCAGTATCAGTGCCTGCGACAATTTACGATCATAATTCAAAGCGCAGACCCCAACCTGGGAAAGTCTAAGTGGCTCGAAGAGAGCGCAGCTCTGCGTTTGAGCTCGCGCACGTTGAAAACAGACACCTCACCCAACCCTCCCCTGTTATCCAAACAACTGCCAAATCTTCTTCCGGTTTCAAGCTTTGTGGGTTTACTGAGGTTGATGACAAGATTAATAACAATGATAATCTAACAAGAATAACAACAATGATAATCTAATAATGACTGTGCACTGCTTGGAGGTTCATGGGACTTAAGACGTACAGCTATAAGTACCTTAATCGGGTTACAACTGACTACTCGGCGTGCCTGCGGAAGCACGGTGCGGCTCGGTTTCCAGTCGCCGCCTCCGAAGGGCCAATCAGGGTTTGGTTTTATTGCTTTTCAAGGGCTAGTAGGGTTAGGGCTTCGGTCGGATTCAGGGTTTAGGAGTTAGCGTTTAGGGTTCAGGGTTTAGGGGTTATGAGGGCCTTGGATTTAGGGTCGAGGGACTGCTCCCCAAGAAAGACACTGGCATCTAGCATCCAAAGTTGCTTCTTGAGGAGTATTGTTGTGCTGGGATATAAAATGATGCGCTGATTTGGGCCGTAGTTTCGGTGAACTAGGAGTTGTCTCTACGGCTGTGCGATTCGCAGCTCTAAGACTCTAGGCCTGTCGTTCAGTCAGCATTTGTCCAAGCTGCCTGTCACAGAGTTCGACGCCATGCGGTTCGGGGTTTAGGGTTTGTGAACTTTCCAGAAACTCCTGCGGTCCTCCACTCAAGTACATTCAGCATGGTGGCTCGGAGCCAAGTTGTGCCTGACATGACCTGAATTCGGGAGCCACCGCACTCCCCGCCTCTGATCTCAAGCCAGCAGCACTTGCACCATCAAGATGATGATTAGCATTGCTAGAAATAGTTCTCACCCTGATCCCGAAGGCGCATATCCTTACGGTCCTTACGAAGGCCCATGTCCTTAAGTCCAGACCCCACATGGCCGTAATGCAGGGGTCTAAGTGATTCGTTCGAGTTATCCCCTCATACAACCTTGAAACTGCTCAAGGCCCCTAGGTGTCGGTGGACTATGTAGGCACACAAGTACTCATTGTTCCAAACCCCTCTGCAGTAGTAGAACTAAACGCTAAACCCTAACATAGGGGCCTAGATAATTACCTGTACTATCTTGGGGGCTGCTTATTATGATTATAGTATCACGGGCCCCAAAACCCTATTCTAATTATTAGTATTATTATTATTATTATTATAGTATCATGGGCCCCAAAACCCTCTTCTAATTACTAAGGCTCCGATAATATAGAACCCTTATACTAACCCCTATATAGATCCCTTTTAAAGGAACCCTATTCTAGTTACTAGGCTCCGATATTAGACCTGCCTCCTCCGGGTCAGAAGACTCCGAACCCTGGCCAGCCCAGGCTAGCCACCTCCACAGCTCCACTTAAGGATGCAAGGGTTTAGGGCTTAGGGCTTAGGGCTTAGGGTTTAGGGTTTAGGGTTTAGGGCCTAAATAAGAAGAAGCGGGTTCCCTGACAAGGGATGAGGGCTCTGTAAGGGTTCTGCAGTTGGGGATCAGGGTTGGGAATCTAAGGGGCATAGAGATTGGACTAGGGTTGCGGGGAATATTAGTATGAGAGTGATATGAATCTGGGAACTATGAGGGTTAATCTGCACACATAGCCTTGCAAGGAGCTGGGCTGCTTCCGCCAAGGCCCCACATCTCAACGCCCTGACCCCTAGGCTTGAGCATGTCCTTCAAGAAAAGCTGGTTGAGAGATTGGAATAAAATTTCTGGCAGCCCGAAGTACCCCAAAGGCTCGGACGTCTGAGTTTCCAGCCTCTCACGATAATGAAAGCTCGAAACTCTGGAAACTCAGACATCCCCGAGCCTTTGGGGTACTTTGGGCTTTAGGGGTTTCGGCTTTCGGCTGCTCTTTGGCGCCGGGATTCAATAGCTAACAAAAACCTACAGCAGCAACGCAGCGAGATATTTTACGACCTAAACCCTAAATCCCAAGACCTAGCGATCCGATAACTTGAAGAAGTCTCTCAGATCTAACAGTAGATCCTCTAAGAAACACCCGTCGAATCACTACGAAAGCCCTAACAACCGATGCTCCACGAAACTGGGAACCCCATTGCCGACAGAGAACAGACTCCTGCAACTTTGCTTCTCGTTTTACTTCCGGACCCCAAGCCCTAAACCCTAAACGGCCTTAAACCTAAGCTCTAATCCCTATAGCCCTAACAGCCTTAAACCTAAACCCTAATCCCTGAACCCTAAACCGAACCTCCAAAACTTCGGTCCAGCGGTGAAATCCTTCATAAGGCCGATAAACGGAAGAGCCGAAATACCCCCGAGCCTGGCATCCTAAACCGTAGGCCGCTAAGCCCTAACACCAGAAAGCCTTGAACCCTTAAACCCCTACCCATAGGCCCCATAGTAGTTCCTGGTTGGGGTTACCTTATAGGATTCTATATGAACCCCAAGAAGGAACTACTTTAGGGCCTATGGGTAAACCCTAAGCCCCCAAACCCTTCAATCCTAAACCCCTGCGTAGACCATGAACACATAAATCCTCAACCCCAAACCCCTGAACCCCGAAACCCTAAAATCCTAAACCGCCCGCAAGCCCCGAAACGCCGAACCCGAAATCCCAAACCCTTAAACTCTAGACTCTTAAATCCTTAACCCCAAAACCTCTAAAGCCCTAATCCCCCAAACCTCCAAACCCTGAAAGCCCAAACCCTAAAGCCCTAAACATCACAAGCCCTGAACCCTAAACTCCTAAACTCCTAAACCCCTCAACCTTCAAAGTCCCAAACCGCCATAACTTATACCCTTGAACCTTTAAACCTCTAAAAAATGCCACCCCGCCCCGCCCCCCCCCCCCAACAAAAAAACAAAAAAAAACAAAAAAAAACCTAGGACCTGGCGACCGCCGCGTCGCTGCGAGCAAAGGTGGAGCGGAGCTCCTCGCGCAAGTCCTGCGGGCTGCGCTTCAATGATCCCTCAAACCTAAACCCCTAAACCCTAAACCCCTAAACCCGAAACCCTAAACCCTTAAACCCCTAAACCCTAGACCCTAAACCCTAAACCCCTAAACCCGATATCCTAAACCC